AGTATTATATGTTTTCTGAACCTTCCTAAAACTATCCCCATAACAGGGGTAGGCACTACAGATAGGAGGGGATCACCGTTCTGCATTCCTCAGCTTCTCATGTGTGCATCCGTTGTTTTACCAGTGCTAGAGTTTTCATGCTGCCTGCCTCCCGAGGTACCCCCAGTCGGGAAGAATGTGACATTATTTTACCCTTAGTTCAAAATAATATCACTGGACTGTGGATAAATTATTATGAGATCATGTGTTCAAAATAAAGCTTCTGGGCTGGGGAGATAGCTCGTAGCCTAAGTGCCTGCCTGGTGGTAAGCGCGGGGTTCCCAGTTCGATCCCCAGAACCCCAGGTGCACCATGCTGGCCTCGAAATCAGGCATGGTAGTGCACGCCTGTAATCCCAACACTGGGGAGGCTGAAAACGGGAGCTTCGGAGATTAAGTATTTCAGTGGTATTAAAGTGCAGAGCTATAGGAGGGCTTCAGTGTATTCATGCCTGAGTTGATACATATCCTAGATGATGCATTTCTTGGCTAACTTACGAATGTTAATATTTTTTCAGACATACTGTAATTTAAAAATGAATGTGAACATTGGTTTTAAGTTCACAGAAAAATTAATGACGCTCCAATTCTCAGGAGTTCAGGACTAGTGTCTTTGTCAGCTCTCACTAGATTTTGTAAAAGATAGTGACTTTGTCACCTCACTTGTGCGGGGCTTTCCCCTTCCCGGCTCTAAGTGAACACACTGTATAAATAAAATATTAATAAATACAATTTAAAAACTTCTCCTTGCTGTTTATATTCAGAATTAAATTTCTTAAACCAGTAATTAAAATTAACTTCTGTGGGCTCACCTTAAGTTTGTAAAATATATGGAGTGTTTTAGAAAGCCTTGCAAAATTTCATGATGTTTTGTCATATTTGACAACTTTTTAAAAGTATGCAAGAGGGATGTAGTGGTGCACACCGGTAATCCCAGGCTCAAGAGGCTGAGGCAGGAGGATCGAAGGGTGCTTGAGGCCAGCCCAGGCTCCAAAGTGAATTCAAGGTCAGCCTGAATTCACAGTGAAACCCTGCCTCTAAAAGACAAGTAGATAAACATGCTGGAGCTTTAGAGGGTTCTTCCTCTCTTCATGATTCGCTGTATCCTTACAAAGTAAAGCTTCAGGTGTGAAACAAAAGGCAGCTCCGTAGAGAAGACATTTCAACTGTGAATGCGTTCAGGGTTGAGTCCTGTCTGTACCTGAAGAACTTGTCTCCTTTCTTATACATAGTCTTTCCAAAGCTTGGCATTTTCACCAGAGACGAAGTTATTTTAAGTCATAGCCCTGCAAAGGGACCCTTATGCATACTTAATAGGTGACTGCAAGCGGCAGGAAGGGCAGCCCTCTTGGCTGCTGCGGCCCTGCAGGTTAGCACATTTGGAACATGGAAGAAAAGGCGATACTACTGGGGCACTCTTCTGCTGGGTTGCTGAGTGCAAAAATGGTAGCCTCACCAGTTTAAGTGATTTTAATGCAATGCTAGACTCAGGCTGCAGGTTCAAACTGCATTTCCTTTCTTAGGCTTTCATGTGACATGTTTTTGAAGCTAGCTTTTGGATGTTTAGAACAATTTAGTAGACTGTCAGATGTCACCGATGCCGGATGTGGTGGCGCACGCCTGTAATCTGCACTGGAGCATTGCCATGAGTCGAGGCCAACCTGGGCAAAGATGGCAAATAAGAAGAGAACCCAGAATATGTGGAAATCTAGATTTAAACAAAGTTACCAGGATTAACTGCAGGAAACACCAAGATGCTGAAAGCCAAGTTAGAGTTCATGTTGTATACAAGCACAGTATATACAAGAAAAACTCGGCCGGTACGTAGGTTTCTGCGTTTGAGCAGCCCTTTCCTCATGTAGCGGTGCTCTAACTCGGGTTGTCTTTAAGGGCTGTAAATCTGTTGTGTAGCACATGGGAGACAGCAAAGCACTTCTTAGTAATGCTGCCAGCATGATTAAGGTGGAGGAGGAGGTACCTTATACTAACAGATAACAGGACTTCACTGTGTAGTCCAGGATGGCTGAAGATACTTAATCTTTGCAGAAATTTGCACGGAAGATAGGAAGGCACCAAAGATACCTTGACAGAGCTACTAACTATTAGGATACTCTACAAAGCTTCGTGGATTGAGAAACATCCGATGATTGCTTATCTGGGAGGTCAGGTCAGCAGCGTGGCCTCTAGGGCTGACCATCCTGCTGCGCCCCCTGCCACGGGCTCGTCCACCTCTGCTGTAAGTGGGTTGGGCGTATGGCTTTCCTAGGGTTTTGAGGATATGCCTGTAGGAAGGGACAGTAGCCGTTGTACATGTTCCTGTTCTATGTTACTATAAATGCTAGCTACTATATGTAGAGTTGTAGGGATCTGTTGGGTCTCACCTTCCCCACTGGAGCCGGGAAGTGATGCACAAGATGAGGACCAGAGCTCCTCCAAAGTTCATCAGGAAAGCCAGCATGACAAGGTCCTGTAGCAGAGCAGCCCAAGGGAACCAGCAGCTTCCATCAGCTCACAGCTTCTCCAGACAGCATCCCTAACAGCGTGTTGGTGGCTTCTCCTGCTCTGCCTTCATGTGGCTGGCGACGATCCTCAGGAGGGCCTCCTGCACCCAGTGCCATGCTAGTTTAATTCTAGGTGTAAGAAGTTGACTACCAGTTAGAAATGCACTAGAATTTCTTAAGGGCTGAACTTTATTACTTCAGGCTAAATGTTGCAGTTTTTTCAATTTTTGCATGAAATTTCATGTTACCTATGAAAATTCAAGGAATAATAATTTAAAGAGAAAAATGTTTATTATGTGCCACTGTTACATGGTATTCTGAAAGTGGAACATCAGGTCTAAAAGGCTTACGGGGCTCAGCTTGGGTAGACCACGTAAGGCAGGTCCTGGTCTTCCCAGAGGCCATCTGCTGTAGGGGTGCCAGACCCAGACAGGAAGGGAAGTTGGTGAGGAGAGCTGGCCTCTGAAAGGTTCCCTGCACCCCTCATTTCCTGCCTGTGCCCTGATACACGTCTCAGTAGATGGACCAAAGGAGATCACTCACTGTTTCCAAATCTTAAAATTATTCGCCAGGCGTGGTGGTGCACACCTGTAATCCCAGCACTTAGGAGGCTGAGGCAGGAGGATCTTTGTGAGTTCAAGGCCAGCCTGAATGACGCCGGCCCTGTCTTAAAAAATGAAATGCAATAAAATGCATGAGTTCCCTGGCCCACAGGGAGAAACGCCAGACTATGGTGACCAGCCTCTTGCCGCTCCCTGGTTTATAACCTCTTTGGCTCTTCCTAAATAGTAATGTTTTGCAAGTTTGGCAATATAAATAGAATATTGCTGCATGTTCTGGTGATGCTGCGTCTGTATGATACTCCCCATGCCGATCGTCAGCTGTGGTTTAATGACTAGTGTCCTGACGGGCGTGCGGATACTTTACCTGCTCTCCCGGGGGCTCACATCCGAGAACGCTGAACATGCTGCTGGCCCGGCGCATGTGCCTGGGAGAGGTGGGACGGGCCATGCCCTGCGGCCCCACTCTGTTCCCAGGGTCCACTGCGGCCTGGTGAGCGCATCACAAGACTGAACCTGTTTCCAATCCATGAAATGATGCTTTAAAAATGTAATTATGAGAGGGCCATGGAGATAGCTCAGTGTTGGCAGCCATGGAAGCTAGAAAATGGGTCAGAAGTGTGTAGGCAGGACTAGGTCTCAGTACCAAAAGCAAACAAGCGGCCTGTCTGGTTAAGGTTGGCTGTTAGTTGCTAGGCAACCTCATGCCAGGTGTTACTAACTTTGCAAAGGTATAAATAAATGTAGGTAAGCCACCAACTAACCCAGCTTTTTTTTCTTAAACGATTTTTCTGTATTTAGTACAGGGTCTACAGGGGATCACTACACAGATCCGACCCCTACCTGTTTTCGGCCTCCCAAAGGCTGGGATTACAGGCACGTGCCACCATGCCCAGTCTGTCACTGTCTCAGCGTGCCCTGGGGGTGGGGCCGGCATCGGGTGGCTGCTGTACCTGCCTAAGCAAGCGCTTCAGTCTGCTGAGCCATCTGGCCGGCCCTAGCCCAGCTTTTGTCTTATCCTTTTCTCATTCCTGCCGCCATTTCTCACCTAGTAGCACCCATCACATTGAGACCAGCAGATCCCTACAGCTCAGCAATCTAAGAGGCAAGTACAAGGACCTGAGCTGGATCCCCCGCATTACGTGCCATGCCTGCCCCACCCCAGCAGTGCTGAGCTGGCCACCAAGACTGGGTGTGGTGGCACACGCCTGTAATCCCAGCGCTGGGGAGGCTGGAAACAGGGATCGCTGCAAGTCAGCTTCCTAGTGAGTCCCTGTACCAAATACATAAATTAAAACAAACAAAAGGTAATTATGGGAAATGTTTTGTATATTGTAGGTATTTGCTCTGTCCTCAGTTGCTTTCCTTCCTTGATATTTTTTGGATGAAGTTTTAAGGTACTAAATTTTGTTTTTTCTGTACTTCTCATGAGTCTCATGTTTTTTCTTACTGAAGTTTGTCATAACATAATGGAGAGCCTCTACCCCGCTGCCACTGCTTTGAAAAAATCTAAGCTTAAGGAAGAACATCAGGGATCCAGGGCAAGGCACCTGGGAGAGCACGTCCGTGCCAGGCCAGTGGCACACGGGGAGTCCTGCTGGTGTGGAATCTCACACCGGTCTAGGTCAGCGCACCATTTCTCTGGTTACCTGTGCATCACAGGAGCGGATTTTCCCAACAATGCCTTGGAGGTTCATCTAGTTTGGGGTTGCAGAAACTGTTTACCAGCTCACCATTCTGAGGTGTCCTACTTATTTAACACAGATGTTCTGGAGAAGTGTTCCCTCTGCTATAATTTCATTATGCAATTAAACATTAACACCAGAGAACTCACTTTAGTTTCTTTCTAGGAATGTTCTAGAAAATAAGCGCAAGGAGCAGAAAACAAATAGTGTATCATTTTCATGGCTACGTTAATTTATTCAGGGCTATGATAGTCTCTTGCACTTGTTACGGTTAAACACCACGCACAGTTCAAGATCTTTATTCTTAACCTCAAGGGAGGGTCGCCAGGTTCCAGGAATAAGATGATCCCAGTGGAAACTGGAAGTGCCCCGCGCCGCGCCCTGCTTCCAGTGGGTGTGGAGCAGGGTCTGGCTCAGAAGAGGAAGGCGCCCGTGCAGTCGCGTGCAGTCGCGTTGGTGGGGACCCGCGCCGGGCCGGCTGCGCGAGGCTGTGACCCCGGGCCTGCGCGGCGAGCTGGTGTTGCGTACACACTTTCCAGAACAGGCACTTAAAAAGCTCGTTAGGTAACATACAAAAATAGATTATATTAATAGGAAACACTTAGTATTTATCAAATTGTAAATCTAGGGCTTTGCCACTCTTAAAAAAATGACACCAGGAGCGGGGCGACGGCCTCCGGGGAGAGGGCGCAGCGCCTTCCACCGGCTTCCGCTGCGGCGCGGTGCAGCCCCGGGCGCCCGAGGCACCGCGTCCTGCGCCTGCCAGGTCTCTGACGAAGGCGCCGAGGGGACATCGGGTCAGCATCCGGACACCGGGTCGTGCGCCTGCGCGGCAGAGAAGCGGAAACCCTTGAGCAGGAGTCAGGCCTCGGACTCGGCGCCTCCGCCGGCGCTCGGGCCTGCGGCGCTGTCCTCCGCGGGGTCGCTGAGCAGCATGTACTTCCCGTCAGCGGTTAGCGGCACAGACAGCATTAGTCGGGCCAGAGCCTCCGGATCCTGAGGTCGGCGGCAGAGTGTGCGAGGGACGGAAAGGAAGAAAGGAGGAAAGGCTTAAGACGCACGTGCACGGGCGGCCGCTGCGCGGGGCCTGGCCGCGCTCCTCCTGCAGGCCCCCAGCTAGGGCCCTCGCTGCTCCGCAAGCCCCGGCCGGCCGGGGCAGGCTGAAGGAAGAGTCCTGAAGCCGGCTGAGGGCCCCTCGGCCCGCAGGGCGCCTCGCCAGGGCATTTCCTTCCTCAAGGGGGAGCATCACAGCCGGGCACTTGCGGGCGCGGGCTCGCATCGGCCCCGGGGGACCGCAGCGCGCACTTGTTCACCTGCCTCTGCGCTGGGCCAGGGAGGGACGGGTGGGTGGTAGTGACCGCGCACAAGTGGGCGGAGGCCCCAGTGGGGGAGCAAGGCCACTCGGAGCCGCCCTGCTGGGCAGCTGCTCCTGCGCGTGCGTGTCTGCTCGCTGCCCCCTGCACGCTCCTGCCTCAGGTTCAGAACCCGGGCCCTCGGTCGTGCTGCTCACACGCAGCCTGCAGCCAGACCGTGCGTGTCTGCGCCACTGCTGTCACTGCAGGGTTTCCTGCCACTACCCAGACTTCCGCGCTTCACTGGGGACAAGCTGCTGAGTGAAGGGAGGTCTCTGGTCACTTCGGTAAGTGGTGCCTGCCGGGGCTGCAGGTTGGGGCGTCCTGGGAGGAGCAGGGCTGAGGGGTGCGGGGGAACGTGGGTGTGTGTCGTCGCAGGGCAAGGGGCAGCCTGGCCAAGAGTGTGAGCAAGAGGGCGGACAGCAGGCACGCTCGGCGCTGATTAGTACGTGCACATTTGTTAGTGGGACCTGCAGCCAGCCTGGCAGGCGTGTGGCGGTTAGAAAGCTCGGGGGTGCGCACTCTGTCTAGGAAGCACAACTGTCCTTGTGGGCAGATGTCCTTACAGTGGTTGTTAAACCCGCATGAAAATGCACCTTACCTTCTGAGCTTCAATAATTTCTTTTCCCAAATTAATAGCATAACATATCTGGAAAAGACAAGGAAAGCGGTGGTCAGCAATGTACGAAAGGCCAAGCATTGAGGGGGAGGTGAGCGAGGAGTGCGGCGAGCCACCGTCCACTCGGGCCATGTGGGACACTGGGAGGTGGCCGAGTGCCTCATCCTGGCGGCTTGCAGTGCTAGCGCCCCGCTGTCCCGACCTCGGTGCCAGCGTGTGCCGCGCGACAGCCGAGTTCCTCCGGTGCTGGCAGCTCCTTCAAGGTGTTTCCGGCCCAGGCAGCTTCTCCAGCGCTGGGCTGGAGGCCAGGAGGGTTCTCGCTGAGGGGCTTAGGGGCGGGGCTCTCAGCTTGGCGGCACTTCCTGGAGCCTCCTGCCTGGTTTGCTCTATTTTCTAGTGTATACTTTGCTTTTTTTTTTTTTTTTTCTCAGAGCAAATGCAGAGTACTGCTTTAGCATTTTGTGATCTCCCTACCAAACAATCCACCTTACACCTGGCGTGCTCCTCGCCCACTCTATTTGTGTAGGTGTGTACCTTCCCCAGGGAACTGCAGGACAGCTGGTGTCACAGCAGTGGGGGCTGGAGCCTGTGGGATGTCACCCCGACAGCCTGGCCACGGTTCCTACCACAGCGCCCCACCCTGAGCTGTCCAAATACAAGACAGAAAGAAGTGAGACCTTTTCGCCGTCGGAGTTGCTTTCAAAAATGTACGTGCTCAGAGACGCTTCTCCCAGGGACTCGGGGACTCGGGTGACAAAGCCAAACAGTCTCTTGTTTTCCTGATGGGCAGCGAACTGGGTGACACTGGAGAGTTCAAACTGGGGAGAAAGGACACACTCAGCAGTCACCAACAAAGGGAGCAAAAGAGCTCTGTGTGGTACTCAGGGGCAGCCACTGCCTGCAGCCATTCGCCAAGCGCCAGGGCAGTGGTGGCGAACCTTTATGTGTGCCCATCAGCTGTGTGTTACCATGGGATGCTCTGCAAGGTTCGCCCTCACTGTGGGCTTGACATGGGTGTGAAGGTGGTGAGGTACTTACGTTGGCCCTGGACACCTGGGTCTGAGGATCTATCAACCTGAAATTGTAGAAGATTCATTAAATTAATTACACACGTTGAACAAAGCCATCCTTAAAGGGTCTGGAGATCAGAGTGCAGTCATGCACACACTCTTCTGTTGGACAGCGTGGCCTGCTTGAGGCTAGGGAGGCCGTTCCGTGGCCATGAGCTCGGTTCCTGCCTCTGCTGCCACGTGTATGGCTCAGGTGTTGGCAGTGCAGGCAGCTCAGCAAGCGGAGCAAACCCCACGGGGCGCGGCTTAGCCAGAGCGCGTGACTGCGGGCAGTTCTAAGTATGTGCAGATGATGTGCGGATGGATCAGGATTGCTGTCTCCTTCTTGGCAGGCACTGCCTGCTGTTTAATTCCTCCAAGTGCTTCCAACTTACTCTAAGTTTAATTTTAAACAAATACATGCGGTATTTGAGAACAGTAAGGCATTTGACAAAACATTCCCTATTAGTATAAATGTAAGAGGAATAATGTTAAAGAAGGCATTTCAGAATATATTCTTCAACACAATTTTAATGCTCTTCATCGAGTTAGCAAGTTGATGTACGTCAGAACTATGTTAGAGAATTTAATGCTGCCTTAATACAGTGAGGCCTTAGTTCACGGATTTTTTTTTTTTTTCCCCAGAACCAGGGATTGAACTCAGGCCCTTGCACTTGCTAGGCAAGCGCTTACTCTACTCCACCATCTCCCCAGCCCACACGGATGTTCTTGTTTGCGGTTTGATTTACAAGCACAAACATGGGTAAAAGTTTGTTTTTGTCTGCAAACTTGGCATCTGGGGATGAACATGACCGCAGCCACCTTTTCCACAACTGTGGGATGAATGAGGCTCAGAAACCGTGGCACCACGGTGTCTGTTTTTTTCAGGGCTGAGGCTCTCCTGCAGGCTGGCAAGTGCCAGGCGCATACGTCCCACGGGCGTCTGCTACATGCTTGTGGTGTTGGGCACTTACATGCAATAGTGGGTAGCGCGTTTATTCTGCAATCACTGTAAATTTTATGGATAAAAGCAAGAACATTTTCTCTTTATAAAAAGTTTATAATTGCATTTATACACAATATCTAGATTAGGCAAATCTATCGAGAACCTTGAATTCTAGGAACAATGAGCTAATTTCTGCATAAGGTTCAGGACATTGTTGGAGAAAAGCTTAAAGATATATATGGAGTTTTATTCCTAATAACCTAATTCTCATGATAAGTTTCATAATAAATGAGGAAGGTAATGAATGGAAATCCTAGTTACTCTTTTAGTTTTGGCAGTACTGTAGCGGCTGTTGAACCCAGAGTGGGGAGCCGTAACCCAGCAACTGTGAAGCTGCAGCCCCGTCCCTATGCTTTGTGTGTAGATGGGCTCAGTAAGCTGCCGGGCTGGGTGTGCACTTGACTGCCCCTGCCTCCGCTTCTCCAGGCGCTGGGGTGAAGGGACACACTGCACCCGGGTCCCTAAGTTCCCTTCCTAGCGTCAGCCTTCGCTGAGCACTTGCACCATGCTGGGCAGCACACGTGTTTAAGCGCACGAATTCGGCCCCTCAGACAGCATGCGGCCTGGACACAGTTAATTCACAGCTGAGGGTACGGGGCTGTAGGGGTTACACAAATGCCAAGGCCAGAATAAACCCAGAAAGCCTGGCTCTGCGAGACCGCGGCCCACGGAAATACACGGGAGTCCTGCCCATAAGTTCTTCCAGAAGCTCCGTAAAGTGAAATCATTGATCCAGTAATCTAAAATACTACCTGTCACTGGTGTAACTGACCTAAGCAATTAGCAGAGAAATGTGTCGCGCTGGGACGTAACAGCATCGCAGAAACCTACGCACCTAACTCTGAAACGTCAGGGCCCACCATTTGTTCTGTGTACAGTGGCTCAGCCCTGCGACTGCCACCTGGTGGCCGCAACCATCCACTCCCCGGGACCTCATTACCTGAAACCCCTCAGTGCACCAGAGTTCCTTCTATTACCTTTTAATGCTCCAGGTATTTTGGGCAGATTCATGCTCTTTATCCTTGTTATTAATTTTAATAAGCATTATTTTCAAATAAAAACCTTTTACTTTGAAGATCTCATAATATAGAGAAATTCTAGAGTAACAGCGTCTTTATAACACCATCCAGCTTGAGCTTCCGTAATCTGAGATTTGAAATCCAGAAGCCCCACGATACAAAATGTGCTGGGAGCCTGCCACAAGTGCAAATCCGCGGCACGGAGCCGCTTCGTGCACAAGGCCATTAAGATGGTATGCTGCCTTCAGGCACACTTAGCACGTGTGTAGTGAACATGAAATATACACGAAGCTCCAATTTAGACGTGGACTCCATCACCAAGGTGTATCATCATACATATGCAAATACTGCAAAGTCTGGGGGGAGAACGACCCGGAATCTGAAATCCTTCTGGTCTCAAGTATGCCAGAGAAGGGCTGCACAACCTGTAGTCACTGGGTGCTGAGCTCAGCTGTGAGTCCTTGTCATTAGGAGCATATTTGACAGAAGAAAGTGTGGCCTCTTCCTGTAACCCGATCAAACATCCCCGAGTGCGCACCCAGGTGGGTGCGTATGGCTTAAGTCAGATGTGCGGTGAAGCCGGCAGGGGCTCTGACAGAGAAGCAGTAAAGAAAAAAAGGAAAGGTGGCATTGAAGCCAGGGTGGCGCTGCAGGGTGGTGGCACACGCCTGTAATCCCAGCACTTGGGAGGCTGAGGCAGGAGGATAGCCATGAGTTTGAGGCCAGCCTATGCTGCATATGTGAGTTCAAGGCCAGCCTGAACTTCATCGAGACCCTACCTCAAAAATAAACCAAAAGAAGATACAAAGTACCTCAGAGCCTGACTGGTGACCATCAGGTGGGACTCGGTCATCCGGAAGATGTTGTGAATGGCTCGTGCAGCCAGCACTTGCCTCATGGCTTCGTAAATCACTTCTGTGCTGCTGTCCGTCTTCACCGCCATTGACCCCAAAAACCGAACTATGAACATCTGTTGCAGAAGTGAATCTGCAAGAGAGCCGTTGCTCAGGAGCTCGCTAACACCTGGGCTCCTGGGCTTGCTCAGGACGGAGGGCACCCGAGCAGGGCATCTCGGCCAGGCTGCCCAGCCCTGGCTCTTCCGCTGCCTGCGCTGTCTGCATGTGAGCTGCTGCGGCCCACAGAGGTGCCTCCAGTTCTTACGTGACCTGTGGCAGTGGTGCCAGGGGGGTGCCCCTCACCGGAAGCCCAGGAGGTGTGCTCCCCCACACCGTGGGACACCCAGCACTTTGGCCCACCCACTGATTGAGCCTGCTCAGAGAAGGTGTGGGAGTGTGCCCAGTGCTGGGGCTCACCAGTCAGACAGCGTGTTTGTCACCCAGGGGCAGTGACATTTCCTAAGAAAGGGAGAGCCACTGCCAATGGCTTCTTAACAGGGGCACGGACACACAGCACTGAGTGACAGAGCATAACTGAGACAGCACAGAAAACACTGAATAAAGAACGACTTCCTATTCCTGTAGGAACAACACTGACCCATCACTTTAAGCTGGGGGCCTCTCTCTTCCCTCTGTTCCCAGAAGCAAGGGCCAACGGGACATTAATATAGCTAATCAGTGACTCACACTTAACTTTTCTGTGGACATTTACAAGTTTAAAAGTGCCCCCTGTAGCTTCCCGACGCCCGCTGTGGACCAGGGCAGACACCGGCAGTCAACGCGCCGTGCCACATCTGAGGCACAGCTACCAGCTTCACTTCAAAAACTGGTACCTTCTGCCTAAAACCTTTAAGGAACGCAAATGCTGAGGTAACCACCTTTGACTGACATAAGCAGAGTCTGTTCCACGGATCGCCAGCTGCTGCCGGAGCCCAGCACCTCTCCTCACCGAACGGCACTGGCTGGGAACGCAGGCTGCAGCACCACCGGGTTCCGGGCAGCACCATTGGGCATGTTCTGCAGCACATTTAAGACTGCAAACCAACAGCCAAACTCTAAAGCTGAACACCGTAACTTTATCATTCACTCATGTTACTTCAAGACCATACTGTTTGTGCTCCTATAACGTGAAGCATCACGATGCGTATCCTCAGCAAGTTTGCGTTTTGATGTGCTCATTTTGTCCTCCTTGAGTCTAGTTAGAGGAACAGATGCCAGCTTTAGAGGTGGCAGCATCTGCATGCAGGAGCTCCGGGGCATGGCGGAGGCGGAGAACCTCCCACCTCCCCTCTGGCGGTACTCAAGACCAGCCTCGCCATACCTGTCATCACCTCTCCGGGGAATGCTAAACTGGGGTCATAATTTCAATCCCTAGTCCGAGTTCTAGAGCTCCAAAACACAATGTCTCCTGTTACTTCAGTGGCCCCGTCCTTCAGTGCAGGAAGCGCACTGAGCTGGCCTCTCACCTTCTGCCTCCGGGAAGGTGTCATCCTCACTTTCGCCAAAAGGGTTGGTCCGCCTAGGGGAACAGCAGGCGTCAGCCACAAGGACCCGGACACCAGCTAAGCGAGGCAGGTCTCTGGGGTGCGCCAGACCCAAGAACAGACTGTCCTCCCTCCTGAGCCCTCTCGGCCCTACCTGCCGCCCCTGTTCTGATCCAGGAATTCTGTGGCTGGAAGTACAATGTCGAACTGAATCGGTGTCCCAGGGGCGATGAGCTCCTCGGGCTCGGGAACCGCGGCTGCAGCTGGGGGCCCGGCCCTGTCGTTCTCCAGCTCCGAGCTCTTGGGGTTCTGGCTGGGGTGCGACAGAGGAGAGGAAGTCTGCAGGCATGCTTAGCCACTCGCTTGATGTAACTTTACACCCGGAAACACAAGGGCGGTTCCCACGGGCCCTTCTGTGTGCTCTGAACCCTCGTGTCCCTGCGGAACCCGTCCGGACGCCCCCATGTCCGCAGCTCAGCCAAGAGCGGTGGTAGAGCATCTGCTGCGCCACACACTGGTCTGGGAAACGTGCCGCTTGGGAGACAGGCCTCTGTCTCGTTCCAAGTTGTATTTATCATTGTCACTAACGGCTGGCAGTGACGGCGGCACCCAGCCCTGTCAGCTGGAGAAGAAACGTCCTGGCCTGCCTCCTGGCCTGCTGTTTATTTCATCAGCCTGGCCCTGACTTCCAGCACCCCCTCTAATGCCCGCTCCTCTGGAGCACTACCTCCCTGGGACAGCTGTGTGACAGATGGCCGGTCCCCATGAGGGACGCAGGCAGGGACAGGAGGCTCAGGCCTGCAGGCCAGCTCTGCGAGGACCCTTGGAGAACAAGTTCAAACTCCACGGCTAACAGAAGAAAGGGGCCAATAGAGAGCCCCGGTGAGCCAGGGGAAGGGAGGAGGCTGCTGGAGTCACATGTGCCCTGGGGCCCTGCCCCTCAGAAATGCTTTCCTTACAATGGCTGTGATATAGCGACTGCCCTGAGAACATCTGTGCTTAGGCTCCAGAGAGCAAGGGGAGGTGGCGTGGGGCCAGGTGACATCCAGGAGCCAAGAACCTGGACCTTATCTAGGGAGGCATGAGTACTCTGAACAAAGAACGACAGGAGGCCATGTGTCACTACAGGAGGCCATATGTGGCTAACGGGCACTGCTCTCAGCTGCCAGAGGGACCCTAAAGCGCCTCGTGGACATGGTCTCCAAGCTCCCTTGGTTTCCACGGGAGCCAGATGTGCAGGTGCTGCTCCTCCTAGCCCTGCTGCTCCTTCTCTTCTCCAGATGTTGGGCTCCTCAGGAGCCCGCCCTGCCCTGGCTGTTCTGAGCTCTGGCTGAGCTCCTGGCTCATCCCCCTGGCGGGATGATTCCCGTGCGCCCTGGCCTGGAGCAATCAGTGGGTGCATGACAACTGGGAGATGGTTCACAGGCCTCGCCTTAGGGTGACCCAAACTAGACTCCTCATCTCTGTCATCTCCATCTGCCCTTCCCTCCAGCCCCACAGGCCCTGCTGCTGCCACCTGATTAAATCCAGATTCAAGGACTCCTCGTTGCCCTTCACCCAGCCCTGGGTCCTCTCTGGTCAAGAGCTGTGAGCACAGACCCTAGAGAGGGAGGAGGTCATCTCACCCTGCCTCACCCACAATTCCCCACTCCAGCCTCGTGCTTCCCAGCTCCTGGTCGCCTTCCCCATGACCTGGGCCTGGCCTTCCAGTTGCCTCCCAGACCCACCAAGCTCTTTCCCACCTTCTCACTCGGGCACCACCTGCAGTCACTGCAGAGAGGTCTCTGTGCCATCTCAACCTCCACAGCCAGGCCTGGCCTGGGTCCTGTGCTCCCCACGCCAGACAGTGGCTGGCCATGTCATCATGGTGCTTTCTGTCCCCTAGAGAGAGGTCACCTCAGAGTAGCTGGGAGGGCTACCCTGGTCACAGGGTCTCTACCCCATGTGCACTAGGGTTTCTGTCACTACACGCAGGGCAGCACTCCCCCCAACTCATGGCGTGCCCCAGGGTCTGGACTTTCGCTCCGTCACAGTGCTTTCCTCTGAGCCCAAACTGTACACACTGTGACTTCCTCACTGCGCTCAGCCGTCCAAGGCTCGCTGCCCTGTCCCATTTTTGTCACCTCTGCTCAGGCTCTCATGCTCCACGTGGGCTGGGCCACCCTGTCTGCCCTCTCCACTGGCCCCTCAGCCTATCCCATGCTGCGCTACATACGGCAGTCTTCCTAAGCAAGGACAAGCCTGTTAATCCACAAAACTGGCAGCTCCTGAGCAGGGCGCCCAGGTCTCGCACGGCCAAGCCCACGTGTGCCTCCCAGCCTCTCTCCCTCTGCATGTACCCAGGGCGGGGGTGCGTCACCCCGGGAGCTCCCTGTGGTCTCCCTGAGATCCCTGTGACTTCTGGCAGTCGTGGGCTTGCACATGTTCAGAATGCACGCCTCCACCCCTCCCCCCGCTGCGAAAATAGACACCAACTGTGTCACCATTTAAGCTGCCCTCTGATGCCCACACTGCCACTAGCATGACGAGTAACACAGCCCTCCACGCCCTCAGCCCTTTGAGACGCCCAGAAACTCGGGGTGGTTCCTTGAATCCGCCCAGAAGCCAGACTGGAATCCAGGGGAGAGCTGTTGGCATGGAACCGGCCACTATCAATGCCATCGGGCAAAAGGGGGACAGACAACCTGAGCACTCAACAGCTAACAGTGAGTGGTGGAGCTGTGTGCGGCTTGATTAAGAAATGGCTGAAAAGTGCAGACATACTTCAAATGAACATAGGAAAATAAGAGCTTGTGTGCAGAGCGGCCTGGGCAGCGACATGGACACATACACGATGAGTAGTGAAACCTGTGCCCACGTGGTGGAATGCTTGGTATCCTAACACTCTGAGGCAGGAGACTCAGCCGGCAATGGACTGGGGAATGGGCTCAGCGGCAGCGTGCTCCTGGCTTCTTCCCAGCGCACGCACTTCTGTTTACAGTACTTTGCTGGTTCTTGTAAAAAGCTGGGGTGAGCGCCTGCCTGGCAGGACCGGTGACACAGCCTGCATAGCTCAGACCACAGCAACGTGGCCCGGTGGGATGCTGGCACCGGGCAGGTGTGAATCCTGGCCCTGCTGCAGTGTGGTGCAGACCCCACGTGAGACTTTCACTCTCCTGGCCCAGCTGAGGCTTCTCCCAGCCTGCAGAAGCAGGTGATAGCATCTCCCTCGGCTGCCCACAGCCTGCCCCACGAGGCCGCCCACGCCTCCCTC